GAAAATTGCGTCGCACACGCTTTCGCCTAAATCTCGAACGCAGTGCGGCATTCAAGCGCCTGACGGCTCGATTTCGCAAATTCGAAAAGATTTCAATGGAATTCGCAATTAAATAAAATATATTTTTTCAAAATGAAGTTTTTCAAAAACATGCGTATCATTTGCGTGCCGCCGTGTTCCCGGAGAGCTCAGGAGTTGCTATCGACCACTGCCGATGATAAAAAACTGCCGACGATAATAAACCTCAAGAGGTTGTGCTGAGGGGTTGTGCTGCAGGGTTGTGCTGGAGGGTTGTGCTGGAGGGTTGTGCTGGAGGGTTGTGCTGGAGGGTTGTGCTGGAGGGTTGTGCTGGAGGGTTGTGCTGGAGGGTTGTGCTGGAGGGTTGTGCTGGGGGGGTTGTGCTGAGAGAGAAAGAGAGGAGGGAAAAAAAGAAGATAAACTGATATATATCTATATATATATATATATGACCAGAAAGATATAGCACATTTCGCAGATATATATATATATATATATATATATACATACATATATATATATATATATATATATATCAATAAATAAAACACACACAAAAAAAAAAAAAAAAAAAAAAAAAAAAAAAAAAAAAAAAAAAAAAAAAAAAAAAAAAAAAAAAAAAAAAAAAAAAAAAAAAAAAAACTTATAAATAAGAAGAAGAATAACAAGAAGAAGAATAAGAAGAAGAGAAGATATATAGAAAGAAAGACAGATAGAGGAGGAGAAGGAAAAGCAAAAATTTCAAGTTTCAAATCCATCAGATTCTATTTAGAAACGCTTTAAGAAAATATAGAAAGAGAGAGAGAGAGAGAGAGAGAGAGAAGAAGAGGAGATAATGAAAAGCAAGAGAGGAAGGAGAGGAGGAGAGGACAGGAGAAGACAGGAGAGGAGCAAGAGGAGAGAGAGATAGAGAAACAGAGAGAGAAAAAAAACAGAGAGTATATTAAGTTTTTTTTTAAATTTTTTCTTTATTTGTTCCCCCCCCCCCAAAAAAAAACCTATCCGATTTTCCATGGGTAATCAACCCCAGGGATAAACAAGTTCAGGGGGCATGGGGGGGAGAGAGACAGAGAGATAGAAAGAGAGAGAGAGAGAGAAGAAACAATGAAAATGAAGAGGAGAAGAAAAAATCAAGAGGAGAAGTAGAAGAGGAGAGGAAGAGGAAAAGCAAAAATTTCAAGTTCCAAATCTATTTTATTTTATTTACAAGCGCTGTATGAAAATTGTGTTTGTTTAAGTGCTCGTGTAGGAGCTCATGTGCCTCACTTTCCGTGGATAACCAAGCCCAGGGATAAACAAGTTCAGGGGCGCATGGGGAGAGAGAAAGATATTAAGAGAGAAATAAAGAAAACAAAGAGAGAGTTGAGGGAAATACATAAAAGAAATATTAAAAAGGAAAAGGACAAGAAGAAATGAGGAGGAGAAGTAGAAGAGGCGAGGAAAGGAGGATAAAACAAAAAATCTGAAGATTCAAATGTATTACATTTGTATTTACAAACGCTTTATGAAAATTAAAATTTTTAAGTGCTCGTGTAGGGTAGCTCATGTGACTCACTTTCCGTGGATAATCAACCCCAGGGATAAATAAGTGCAGGGGAGCATGGGGAGAGAGAGGAAAAAAAGAAAGAAATAAAGAAATCTATAAAGACATAAAAATATAAATTAAGAAAAAAGAAGGAGAAGAGAAGAGGAAGAAAAAGAGCAAAAACAAATCAAGTTCCAAATCTATTAGATTTAATTTACAAACGCTTTCTGAAAATTGTTTTGGTTGAGTGCTCGTGTAGGGTAGCTCATGTGCCTCACTTGCCATGGATAATCAACACCAGGGATAAACAAGTTCAGGGGGGCATGGGGAGAGAGAGGAAAAAAACAAAGAAATAAAGACATATGTAAAGAAATAAACATATAAATCTTTAACAAAAAAAAAAGGAGAAGAGAAGAGGAAGAAAAAGAGCAATCCTCGAGTATATGTTTGTTTCGCTTGAGACATCCTCGGCAAGCTTCTCGAATCGCTTGAGACATCCTCGCAGAATTGCTGGTTTCGCTTGAGACATCCTTGAAACATTGTTCGTTTCGTTTGAGCCTGCCTCCCAAAATTCTTGGTTTCGCTTGAGACATCCTCACAGAATTGTTGTTTTCGCTTGAGACATCGTTAAGAAACGTATCGTTTCGCTTGAGACATCCTCCAGTATATGCTTGTTTCGCTTGAGACATCCTCGAGTATATGCTTGTTTCGCGTGAGACATCCTCGACAAGCTTCTCGAATCGCTCGAGACATCCTCGAGTATATGCTTGTTTCGCTTGACACATCCTCGACAAGCTTCTCGAATCGCTTGAGACATCCTCACAGAATTACTGGTATCGCTTGAGACATCCTTGAAACATTGCTCGTTTCGTTTGAGCCTGCCTCCCAAAATTCTTGGTTTCGCTTGAGACATCCTGAAAAGTGTGATCGTTTCGCTTGATGTTGCTATTTCAACATAACTTGATCTTGCTATCTCAACATAACGTTCCGAGGTGATAATGAAGTTTGGCCTCCGCGCCCCGCGCCCCCGACCAAACTCTTATTGGTCGACGATAGAAAACTCCAACGACTTAAGGGGGGGTACATTATTATCGTGGGCATGGGGTTAATGCGTCTATGGCATGCACAAGGAGCGCGCCAAATCCTGCCTAGAAGACCGAATGACGACAGAGCAATTAAATGATGAAGCCTTGCCGGGTAGCGCAACCCAAGAAGACGTGGGGGGCTCAGAGAAAGAGGCCCTCGAATGACACAGTAACCGATGCACCTAGCACGGTGCGCCTCTCACTGGTAGACGATATCAAGGCATCTGGCGGCCATGTGGCAGCACATCTTGTCAAAGGCGGTCTGGCCACTGAAAAGCGGCAGGGCGAAAGTGGTCACCCTGGGCTTCCCTTCCTGAGCATCGAGGTCGCACGAAAGATGGAACACGTGATCGTTGGCCACTGGGTCCCGATGCTGGAACTCGACGGCGGCCTTATAAAACGCAGTGCCAATAGAGTTCTTCGCATGGGGTTCAACGACTTCCAGACTGGCAGCCTTGACAGGAATGGCCTCCGAACATTTTCTTGAAGGCCTAGCGGCCAGCAACCTCGTCGTAGAAACTCAGGGTGCCGTCGGATCTATTCAGCATTGGCCTGGCCGTGAGGCCGACAAGGCGCGCGACCATGTGCGTGTCTCGCCGGGGTCCTGAAATACTTCGGCCTTTCCGTGCCGTTGGAGCCTCACAATGGCAACTTCTGCCTCTGCCTTAGCAACGCGTTTGCCCTCCATCGCCACAGAACGCGAGCCAGCTCCGCCGCAATCGCCAAGCGGCTGGCTTCACGTCGTCTCCTTTGTCTCGCACGCCAAGACTGCCCGGACGGGATCGGTGTGCGTCTGGTGGTTGGGGGCCTCCGCTTCCGCAAGGCGCTCGGCCTGCAGCGCAGCGGGAAAGCCCAAGGCGGACCGGAAGGGGTGTCACGACAAAGAGAATGTGGGATTCACCTTTGGAACTCTTGTGCCTGTGGCCCACGATTACGGCGCTGTCGGTTTCCACGTGTACAAGTTGGAGCAGATTGGTCAAAAAGCTGTTCTGCACCGTCAGCGCCCAGACGGGGAAGAAGCAAAGATGCACACTGAGTTTGTCCTCTTCTGCGTGCACACCTTGACGACGCCTTGCTGGTCATTCGCCAACTCCTGGATGCTGGCGGCGAGCCAGGGGGGGGGAAGTGAGAAGGGGCGGGCCTTCTCAGAAGGCTCGGAGGTACCCTGGCCTTCTGAGAAGTTTCCTAAGCCTTCCCCGAAGACACGGAAAACCTCTCAGAAGGCGCGAGGGTTTCTGAGAAGCCCCGCCGCCTTCTGAGAAGGCCTTTTCCTTTTCCCTTCCCCCCCTCGCCCGCCGCCGATGGATGGGTGGTTCAATGGAGCCAGGCTGCCACGACCATGGCTGCGCGGGGAGGCACAGGGGGGAGACGGTGACCCGCAGGCGCTAGCGGATGGCCCCACCTCAGGCAAACGCCTGAGCCCCAGGGGGGGTCCTCCTCCTAAACTCCTCCTCCTCCTCCTCCTCCTCCTCCTCCTCCTCCTCCTCCTCCTCCTCCTCCTCCTCCTCCTCCTCCTCCTCCATTCCTTTTCCTTATGAATGACTTTTCCCGTCGCACCCCGAGGCCAGTTTTTAGGGCGGTCTGGGCGGTCCGCCTGAGAGATCCTCCCCATGTGTGACCCTGAAGCTGAAAAATGACAACAGCCTCACAGATGGAGGGCGGGTGGTTTTCAAAACGTGGCTCTCGCCTTAGCGCCGCGCACCGTCGTTTCAAGAATTCGTAAGAGCTTCACGGATTGAGGGCGGGTGGCTTTCAAAATGTGGTTCTCGCCTTCGCGCCGCGCACCTTCGTTTTAGAAATTACAGGAGTTTCGCAGGTTGAGGGCGGGTCGTTTTCAACATGTGGCCCTCGCATTCGCGCCGCGTACATTCGTTTGCAAACTTTGCAAAAGTTCCACGGGCCCCCATGATGCGCGCACCAGACTTATGTGTTGGAAGGATTCAGGATTATGAGGGCGCAACAGTTACGTTGATTCGCGGTGCTGAGGTCCCAGGAATGGTGTTCTGGCACTGTTCAAGGTAGTCAAGACGCAACAGTCAGGTTGACCCGTGGCGTTGGAATCACGACAACAATGTTTCGGCATGCTTCAGGGTCTTCAAACGGTTGTCTCCCAACGAGGCAGTTCCCTTTGGAATGAACCGTTGTAGGGGCCTGTGACGAGTGAGCTTGGAGGGAGGGTTGACTCCAACATCGTTGATGACTCTTCGGTTTTGACTGGTCATCCTCCTCCTACTCCTCCTCCTCCTCCTCCTCCTCCTCCTCCTCCTCCTTCTCCTCCCCCTCATCCTCCTCGTCCTCGGTATCTTAATTTGCTGCACCTCACCGCGGGGGGTGCAGCCTGGGCAGGCCTGGTACCCCAGCGGAGGCAGGTCTCACCAGCCGCCGCCGCCTGGAACAGGGGGGCTCAAAAAGGAGGCACGCGCCCTGCCACTAGGCAACCACATGTGAATCCCACCCTTGCAGGTCAGATTTCTGAAAAATCGGCTGGGGCTCTGAGGTTGAAGGATGTCGGCAGCCAAGTAAGCCCCAGCGGGGGTGTCCGATATCCCCGCATCGATTTCACCCACACAGGTAGGTTTCACAAGGGGCCGCAGAGTACATCAATATGTCCCCTCAGCTTGCGAGACCGCCCTCATGTCAAAGAGCGCTCGCGCGCAGTGCGCCCTCTCGAAGCCCGCGTAATCTCACGCGCGCGTACGTCTCTGTTTCACTCCATGATGGCACGCCACTCATCCGGAGTCGTTCCTTTACAACCCAAACTCGGCGAGGGCCCCCCGAAGCCGAAAACCACGAAAAAGCACTACATTGGATGTCCAGGACTTCCTCCTCCTCCTCCTCCTCCTCCTCCTTCTCCTCCTCCTCCTCCTCATCCTTCTCATCCTTCTCCTCCTCGTCAGCCTCACCATCATCATCACCATCATCATCATCATCATCATCATCATCATCATCATCATCATCATCATCATCATCATCATCATCATCAGCATCATCATCATCATCGTCATCATCGTCATCAGCATCATCATCATCAGCATCATCATCAACAACAGCATCATCAGCAGCAGCACCATCAGCATCATCATCAGCAGCATCACTATCATCATCATCATCATCATCATCATCATCTCATCATCATCATCATCATCATCATCATCATCATCATCATCATCATCATCATCATCATCATCATCATCATCATCGTCATCATCGTCATCATCATCAACAGCATCAGCAGCAGAAGCACCATCAGCATCATCATCAGCAGCATCACTATCAGCAGCATCACTATCATCATCATCATGATCATCATCATCATCATCATCATCATCATCATCATCATCGTCATCGTCATCATCGTCATCATCATCAGCATCATCATCAACAGCATCATCAGCAGCAGCACCATCAGCATCATCAGCAGCATCACTATCATCATCATCATCATCATCATCATCATCATCATCGTCGTCATTATCATCATCATCATCATCATCATCATCATCATCATCATCATCATCATCCTGATCATCCTCATCATCATAGTAATCGTCATCAACATCATCTTCATCAGCAGCAGCAGCATCAGCATCAGCAGCATCGTCATCTGCATGATCATCAGCATCATCATCAGCATCATCATCAGCATGATGACCAGCATCATATCATCATCATCATCAGCAGCAGCAGCAGCATCATCACCATCAGCATCGTCATCATCGTCATCATCATCATCAGCATAATCATCGTTAGCATAACATCTTCATCATGATCAGCATCATCAGCATCATTAGAATCATCATCAGCATCATCAGCATCATCAGCAGCATCAGCATCAACATCTTCATCATCACCATCACCATCATCATCGTCATCATCATGAGCATCATCATACTGCTGCTGCTGCTGCTCCTCCGCCTCCCCCGTCCCCCGTCCCCCGTCCTTCTCCTCTTCCTCCTCCTCCTCCTCCTCCTTCTCCCCCTCCTCCTCCACCTCTTCCTCCTCCTCCTCCTCTTCCTTCAACCTGCTTCCTCCCGCTCCACCTGGTCCTCCTCCTCCTGCTCCTTCTCCTCCTCCTCTTCTCTTAGACATACCAGAAGGGCGATAACCTGAGGTGTCTCAGCTTCCACCTCCTCCTCCTCCTCCTCATCCTCCTCCTCATCATCATCCTCATCATCATCACCATCATCACCATCATCATCATCAGCATCATCATCATCAGCGTCATCATCATTATCGTTATCATCATTATCCTCTTCGAGAATCGAGGATAAAACATGAAGAGGGTGCTTTGGGTCCGATCAGGCCTCCAAAGACCTCCAGGGACCTCCGGAGACTCCTGGAGAGTTCCAGGACGCCCTCCTCCAACTCTTGCTCCTCATCGTCCTCCTCTTCTACTCCTCCTCCTCCTCCTCCTCCAACTTCTCCTCCTCCTCCTCCACCTCCTCCTCCTCCTCCTCCTCCTCCTCCTCCTCCTCCTCCTCTTCCTCCTCCTCATGCATCCATCCTCCGCGAAAGCCGCCTCATTTCGGCGGATGGTCAGAGTTCGCCGCGCAATCGAGACGTGAGAAGTTGCATCTGCCAGGCTAGCATGACTCACGCTCGGAACAAACGTGAGATAGGATGGTCGACCATGTCATGAGCAAGCGGTAAGGAAGCGATGCATTTGCTACTCTAGCGGATGCCGTCTTTGGATCACCTGCAAAGCACGAGTAGCCGATGACAGACACGGGGCAACCTGTACCTCAGTGAATGAGCTCTGGAAAGACAGATGCATCCCCAGGAGAATAGATTGTTCATCTTGGGCCTGGAACGGTCATCGTCAAGAGTGGCAACGGAACGTATGAATACAACCGGAGCGAATACGCTGCTGGAATACGCACATTTAACTTCGGTTGCGATTTATGTTGAGGTATGAATGATTGCCGTCTGCGTGGATCTAAAGCCAGCGCTTCTGGACCTAATCTCCATACCATTCGTTCACACAAACATAAGTGCGATCACGCTCTACATTTGCAACATCAAATTAACGGCCCCAGACAGAGCCCGCCCGAGTTGAGATTCTGCGGGGGCGGGGGGGGGGCGTTTTTTAGTGTCGCGGTTCGTTCCTCAATAGTGGAATCTTCAGTCCTGGGTAAGTACGCATCGACTTATTTGGCTGTCTGAGGGCGCAGGCAACTAATACTAGCGACAACGACGTATTGCACCTGGGGAGGAGGCATGGCTTAGTCGTAAGACTACGAATAGTGAACAGTAGAACTGCCACGATGCACAATCGAATCAAACACTCTTGAAACGTAAACGGTAGCAGCTCTGCGATGTGGAAACCATGGTGTGCGAAGTGACTGCACGGGCGGAAAACATTACTCGTGAAGTAACTTCGTTACATCAGGAGACAGCCCGCGCGCTCCTCCAAGACAGAGCCGCCAGAGGCCCGAAGGTCAGAAACGTTTGCTTAGCGTGTCGCAGCGACACGCTATGCCCTG